GCACAATAAAATCAAGTTCAAAAACCTCGTTCAAATGTTGACCACCCTTAATCTTAGTTTCTGCACTCTTGGATAAATATTGCAACCCAAAAAATCGCTGACTCTCTACATAAAATCACATTTTAAAATGCCTCACCCTACATAACAGTTTTATCACCTACAGTGGTGGCAACGCAATTTTAAACACCCTATACAAAAATTCCTCCCTCACACAACTAAATCTCTCTACTAACAAACTTAACGACCAAAATTATACCACGCTAGCAAAAATACTTCGAAAAAACACCACCCTTATCTCTCTAGATCTAAACTACAACAAATTAGGTGGGAACGGATCCTTTGTTGCCAATTCACTTGGTGAAAACAAAAGCTTAGAATTTTTAGGCCTTCACCAAAATAGCTTTTCACCTACCATCGTCGAATCATTTTTAGAGAGGCTCAATTTAAATACTACTCTAATCCAATTGGATCTTTCACGTATCCTTGATGATAACCAAATTGTCAAAATCCAAAAAGAAGAAAAATACTTACCAATTCTCACCCGAATTCTTTTTAAAGATTATAGTTTATAAAAGAAATTATAAAAGTAACAAGGCCTTCAAGATTAGCGATTATATAATGATTTGTTGGCAAATTATTCTAAATTAGAATTTTTGCATTTTTTTTTTGCAATAGCAATATTACGATTATATCAGCTACTTTTACTGAAGACAACTTTTTTATTTCAGTGCTATCAAATAATATTACCATTCTTTTCAATTTTATTGAATGGTTTTAACCAAATTCTTAACTAAAAAAGTTACAATAAGATAAATTCATAATAATGTTCTAAACTTTAGATAATAAAAACTGCATTTGCTTAAGAATATCATATTAAATTACTAATAAAATTGTAAATAATAATAATAATTTACGCGCCAAAAAACAACAATCATTCAATTTTGTTTAAATAACTATTGTATTTATATTAGATCTACCAACCATATTCGAACCACATGATCAGGATTCTTTTTGCTTTTAACCTCATTTTTTGTAATTATGTGCTATGAAACACATATGAGTTTGATTCAAGCATGCTACGTAGAATTCACCAGCATCTTTTATTGTTAACATAAATTTCAATTCTTTATTAATTATTTTGACTGTTTTCCAAATGTCATGTCAAATTCTTAGATGACTGTTTTTCGAGAGTTATAAAGTCATAAACAAATATGTTGTACTTAATATCTCTACCACATATTAATTAAAGCTCTAAGACTATCGCCCAGACAGTTCATCTAATAATAATTTGCATTAAATTACTTCAATTGAACAATTTAAATAACATCTCAGAGAAACATTAATGCATATCTAACCTAATTATTGTTTAACTGTGGTAATAAAAAGTACAAATATTTATCTTTTATTGAGTTTATTCGGATAAATTTTTATCAAATAATAATGAGACACAATGTTCAAACCTATTATTTAGGTCTCAGAATTAAGCTTTTGCAATGAATTAAGATAATTTTGCTTATAACTGTCGGCAAGGCTAATTCTTTTAAGTTCTCTTTCTTGAACTAATATATGGAACTTCTTTATCTCGTGAAGTTTAGTTTCGTTATCTTCTTCTTTGATTTCTTTTAATAGTTCAGAAAGCTTCAGATAATATCCAATAGTTTTGGTTTTTTCAAGGTAAAGCCTTTTTTTAGATTCTATAATAATATCGTCAAGAATTTTGCTTTCTATTTTTTGAACTTCATCACTATCGATTAAAACAGAAACAACTTCTCTTTTTGAAGCTTTAAACCATTTTCAAAATAATGGAAATAGCTTTCAGCCTCATCCTAATCAACTTCTTCAACAGCAAATGGATCAAGTAAAAATGTATCTCAATGCTATACTTGGTGAACTAGGAAATCATCAATTTAGAAGAGTAATTCTTTCTCTTCACGAAGCACTTTCTAACTCCATAGACCGATGACATAACAGCATGCCACCTACTACCTATCAAGAAACTCAAGAAACCACAGATAGCATCAACTATAACCGGCTTCCATCTTATTCTTATCATGCAAATGCAAATACAAATGCTAATATTACGAAGTGCATCAACCAAAATCATATACCTCATTCCTGTCAAT